CTTCCGCCATAGAGAGTGTTAGAACCAGGTGGAAGCAAATTTACATCATTCATTTCATGGATATTTTAATAGCAGGAAAAGATGGAAAAACAGGTACTCCAGTGCTCTGATGATCTTAAAACAGCTTTACAGACTGCAGGGTTACAAATAGCACCAGAAAAGGTACAATTACAAGATCCATATACTTATTTAGGATTTCAGATTAATGGTCCACGTATTATTAACAGTAAGGCCACCTTGAGGACTGATTCCCTTAAGACACTTAATGATTTTCAAAAACTGTTGGGAGACATTTATTGGCTACGACAATATTTGAAACTTATGACAGGAGAGTTGAAACCTTTGTTTGACATTCTCAAAGGAGATCCTGACCCTAAGTCTGGCAGGGCTCTAACAGAGGAGGGTAGAAAAGCCTTACAGAAGGTTGAGAATGCTATTTCATCCCAATTTGTAACTCATATTAATTATTCTAAGCCATTATATTTTCTTATTTTTAACACTAAACTAACTCCTACTGCAGTTTTTTGGCAAACTGCACCCATATTATGGGTTCATCTTCCCTCATTCCCTAAAAAGATTCTTTATCCATACTATGTAGCTGTAGCAGATATGATTATGTTAGGCAGAGATAACAGCCAAAAATATTTTGGAAAAGATCCTGATGTCATAGTACAACCATATACAAGACATCAGGTTAATTGGCTTATGCAGAGTTCTGAAGTTTGACCTATAGCATGTGCTTCATTTGGTGGTCAACTAGATAACCATTATCCGCCAGAAAAATTAGTTCAATCTTGTAATCACTATGCATTTGTTTTTCCATCTTGTACTGCACATGCACCTATAAAGGAAGCATTGCTAGTTTTCACTGATGGGTCCTCATCAGGAACAGCTGCTTATGCCTTTAAAGTTCAGGTAGTTTCCTTTGCTACATCAGCTGTGTCAGCTCAATTGGTTGAATTACATGCTGTTGTTGCTCTGTTTCAAGCATTTCCAAATCAAACCATTAATATTTACACAGATAGTTCATATATAGCTCAATCTATCCCTCTGCTAGAAACTGCTGTGCAAATAAAGCACTCCTCAGAAGCAGCCAATTTGTTTTTACAGTGCCAACAATTAATTTTGAGGAGAAAGTGTAAATTCTTTATAGGACACCTGAGAGCCCACACTGGGCTACCAGGTCCTCTCGCTGAAAGAAACACCAAGACAGATCTAGCCACTCATATAGCCGCAGTGACTTTATCAGATCTGCCATCTAACTTAGAACAGGCCATAAAGGCTCATGAGTTATATCACCTTAATTCTAAAACTTTAAAGGTCATGTTTAAAATTACCAGAGAACAAGCTAGACAAATTGTCAAACAATGTCAATCATGTGTTAAACTTTTACCAGTTCCTCATTTAGGTGTGAATCCAAAGGGATTGATACCAAACAGTCTCTGGCAAATGGATGTTACCCATTATAATGAATTTGGAAATCAAAAATATATACATGTATGTGTAGATACATACAATGGTTTCATTTATGCGACATTACAAACTGGAGAAGCAAGCAAACATGTGATCAATCATATGCTTGCTACAATCGGTGTATTGGGTGTGCCAAAACAGATCAAGACTGACAATGGCCCAGGTTATATAAGCTCCAGTTTCCACCAATTTTGTGAATAATTGGGAATACTACATAAAACGGGTATTCCATATAATCCACAGGGCCAAGGTATGGTAGAAAGGGCACATCAAACCATTAAATGTCAATTCAAAAAAAATAAAAATAGGGAATGGTAACCTACTAAGGGATCCCCCAGAAATATCCTTCATCACACGCTCTTTATTTTAAATTTTTTAACTTTGGATTCTGAAGGAAAATCTGCTCCAGATAGATTCTGACATCCTGATACCAAAAAGAATTTTGCAACAGTCCTCTGGAAAGACCCATTAACTGGAACCTGGAATGGGCCAGATCCAGTGCTTAACTAAGGAAGAGGTTCTGTCTGCATATATTCCCAAACAGCAAATGCCGCACGCTGGCTGCCAGAGAGACTGATCAAACAAATAGACAACAATAACAAATCCAGGGAGGAGAAACCCCCTGAGAAGCGTATTTTTTCTTTACAGGAAACATGAAAATGTTTCACAATTCTCTTCAAAAAGGAGATCAACCAGCATACTGGACTTGGGAAGTTCTCAGTGCAGAAGAAGACATCACCACCCACACCTCCAGGGTGGCTCTATTGGACTTTTGGTTCCCTGATTTATGATTTAGTGGGGTACATTGTTTAGACTCAGGAGAAAACCCATTACCACAGTTACTATAATTGTTTTTTTGGGTTTAGGATTGACTGGGACAAGAATGGGGATTTTCTTTATTTGTTAAGATCAAAGCTATGATCAGTTCTGTACTTCTATAGATTTAGAAAGAATGGAATCTGCTATAATGCATTTGTAAAATTCATTATCCTTCTTAGCTGAAATAGTGGTACAGAATAGAAGAGGCTTATACTTTTTACTCCTCCAACAGAGGGAGTTATGTGTCACCCTAAAAAGAGTGTTGCTTTTGCACTAACCATTCAGGCATTGCTAAGTCTCTTGTCTTTGGGGTTCACACTGTTCAACAAACTGATGAATTTTGTACAATAATAGATAGACGCTATTCAAATGAAACCCATAGAGGTCTGTTATTACAGGCTGGAAGTAGGGGACTACAAAACCTCTGTCATCAAGACTGACGAGGATTAACCCCTAACTTACACGCTAAGCCGGATAGTCAATGACAGGTAAGAGAACACTTCAAGACCCTTGCCCCAAACTGGGAGACCTTACCATCCTAAGACAGGAGCTCAACCAATGGCTGTTGAGTATCCAGAGATGAGAAAGGGAGGCTGGAGTCCTTTGTTCCAACCTAAGACAGGCACGGTTTCTGTAAGTTTTCCCAGCCTTCCCTTTTGAAAACAAATTTAAAAAGGGGGACCTGTTGGGAGCCGACTCTGAGCAGAAAGCGGCTATCATCTTTGCAGCCATCTCGAGCCATATACCCTGACAAGAGACTTGTTTTCAACAGCCTACAATAGCTGAGCACACTCTGATAGTTATCTTGCTTTTCTTACATATCTTGTTTTGTTGTTTATTGCCCCCAGTTGCAGGGTGCACATGGAAAAGTGTCTTCAGCTGTGTTCCCCTGCTTGTGCTTATATATACCAATGATTTCCTTTCACTTGAGGCGAGACTTGAGGTGAGACTTGAGGAGAGACTTGAGGCGAGACTAGACCAGACTCTGTCTCATCTCCATTCTTCACGTCTCCATCCCCACTCTCTTCTCTTGCTAGGCCCTGACCCTCTGACCGGAGCAGCAGAATGGGCCGTTACAACAAGGGCATCAATTTCTACCCTTACTCAAGATTAAATCCTTGACCAGAGCAATAAAGCAAGAAATAGAATAAAATGATAGCAATAAAATAAAGACTTGTGTACAGACTCCATGATCCAGGAAAATGAACCCAACAGAGAGTTCTCATAACATAAAGTGCAAATGGTCAACATATACACTGGAAAAGATTCAACACCTTAAGTCATAAGGGTAATGCAGTTCAAAACTACAGAACTTCATCACTGAGACACACCACTGCCCAGTAAAAAGTAAAAAAAAAAAAAAGTGATGGCCTGGACGACTCCATAAAGGAAAGTAACTTATAACACTATACAGCAACTTTCCAATCTTGTGAGAATATTCTAAAGGTCCAATGAGGCGGTTACTATGACAAAACACGGAGCACATGGTCCACCCCAGTTGAGGGGTAGTGGCTCCCCAGATGTATAAATGTAGTTATTTCCTCATATGTAATAAAATTGTTTAGGTAAAACTTAAATATATACTATTAGTTACAACTGTAAAAATTTTCACTTTAAAGAGGAAAACTAGGGCTGTAAGAAGGCACTGTTCTAGAGTAAATTTTGCAGTGTTACCAGCAATATATATAAATATCATGAAAAAAAAATATTTTCTAAAGGAGTGGTTCTCAACCTGTGGGTCATGGCCCCTTTGGAAGAAGAATGACTGTCTCACAGGGGTCTCTTAAGACCATCAGAAAGCACAGATGTTTACATTATTCATAGCAGAAGAATTACAGTTATGAAGTAGCAATGAAGATAATTTCATGGTTGGGGGTCACTACAACATGAGGAACTGTATTAAAGGGTCATAACATTAGGAAGGCTGAGAACCACTGTTCTAAAGCCAGGTACCCACAATAGTATGGGATTATCTAATGATTATAGAATAACACCATCTAATATTTACATAATTATAAAATTCTTAAAAACAGGGTCTTAATTTCTAGAAATATTAGCTTGAAGAAACATCTGATTGATGCCTGCTTCTCATGTGGAACCAAGTTAGCCATGGGAGTAATTTCTTTACGTGTACTGCTCAAGCCAAAATTAAAAAGATAAACTCTCAATAAAAAGCAAATCTCTTCACAACTTTGAATCTTACAGTTAGACTGTCATCTTATTCTACAATCTTAATGTGTATGTGAAATTCTTTAAAAGTAAAATTCAAATATTTTTAAAAGCCTAACAAATGTAGTTTATATCACAATTTTTTAAAATAAGTAAAATACTAGTCTTTTATGAAAAATGTTAAATTTTAGTATAAAAATCTCAGATCAATTGTATTGCATGATACACTACTTTTATCTTAGATGCTATAGAACTGAAATTAATTGTAACATATACACACATCCTTGAGAAGACCCGAGAAATTACATAAAAATATATCTAACTTCCATTAAAATATGTATTAGATTTTTTAAAACAACATCTACTAGTCTCACCACCATAGATGAGTTTCTATATATGTTATTTACTAAAATTCTCAAAGAATATGAGGATTTTTGCCCACTCTTCTTCAGCACAACCAAAACTCTTAAGTCCAAGTTGAAAAAAACAACACACCACTGAAAATAGAGCTTTTAAAACAAATTACCAAACATTTAAGATCTTGTATAAATAACACACAAAAATCTTGTTTTATTTTTGACATGACATGTCTAAGCTGGAGCAGCACTACAGACGGTAACAATTACTTATATTTGAAAATAAGTATGCTCTCTCCTCTCTTCTAGAGATGTCCATTACACGCCTGCTGGCATTCCTGAATGGAATGAACAGCTCCACAACCTTTGCCTTCCATCTGTCTGGGAGACTCTGACAAAGGGACACTCCTCAGACAGCTGTAACGGCAAGCCTGGAAACCCCTCAGACGCAGTCTTAGATCACGTTCTAACCTGTTAAGCATCTTAAAGAGCTTGTACATTTTACAAATTATTTATGGCTTATGCTTCGATTTAATGTATAATGACAAGTCTCAGGGAATGAAACATCTCATTGGCAGTTAACAGTTCAAGGGAGGGAAGTATTTCTGGCATTCTTAATCTCAAAAATATAAAAGAATATTATTCATTATACTCATAGAAAAAGTTGGAGACAGTTCTATTTAAAAACATATTTACCATAAACACAAGGAAAACAAATAAGAAAATAGATTGTGCTGTGTTTTTGTAAGATTGTCCCATTTCAAAATTCTTTAGGGTCAGGAAGATTTCCTATGCAAATAAAACTAGACTTTTGTTCCTTCTGCTTTGAAAAATATTTACAGTGACATGGAACTACAGGCCCTGACAGAGCAGCGTAGATGAGCAAGAAAGAAAAGGTATTTAATTTCTGAGCATTTTAATTTGTATCATGAAGTTATTATAGATCAACTATGGAAAAATTAGAAAACATTAATAAACATCAGCCCTCATGTAAATCACACAAGATGCCAAAGTATAATACACTCCACGTGGTAAAAACTGTACATGTATGTTGTGTATTTCTTACACTGCAAAATTTACATTATAATTTTTTTCATTTCTCAAAGAGTTGAATTGAAAATGTCTATTTTCATCTTCTGCCAGAGGAGATGCGGTGACTGTGGTGAGCTCCATGCACCAGCTCACAAGCATCCTGCCAGACTTCAGCAATGGTTTTTACAGATGGTACATAAAAATATTGACAAAGTTTTGAGCAGACAGCATCACATCTTCCTCTGGCTAGCATCATGACAAGGACATGTGGATACAGTCCACAGCCATGCAGCTAGAGCTCTGCTCTGGTTCTGGAAGTCAGCCTGGTCTCTGAGGAAAGGCCATCTCTTTCATACAGTCATACTGTCCCGGACTTGATCGACCCGCAGGGAAAGGTCCCTGAAAGATGGGCGTTGGTTTACATTGTTATTCCAGCACTCTGTCATGATTATATAAATCTGTAAAGTGAGAAAAGTTAGAATGTTAGTTAGAGGATGGCACGAATTTGGAAATCTCCAACACTCCTACGACAAGGAGAGGCATAGACAAGAAAACCGCCGAGGAACTGAAGAGGACTGACCAGCCTGGAGGGCTCAGCTCAGCAGCAGAAACAACAGAGAGACTAGACTGCCTCAGCAAGGCAGAAGGCAAGAGCCAACCACAGAAGGCTCTCCTCTGATCCCAATGTGCACTGTGGTATGTATGCCTGTACTCACCCCTCCAAGCACCCACACATACCAAGACACCCACCCCCACAACACACACAGCAAGATGCACACAATCACACATACACCCACCCCCACAACACACACATACACACACTGGCGCAGGCTGTGGGAACTGTGACTGACTACACACACTGGTGCAGGCTGTGGGAACTGTGACTGACTGCACACGTGCACACAGATGCTCAGACACATGAATGAGTGAATGAATGAATGAAGACTATAAAGCCTGTTACCTCATCTGGGCACCCTTCTGGTCTCGGCAGCCTTCCGTTATTCTTCAGTAGCTCTATCAGATGGAATACAATCATCTGCCCTTGTTTATCATTGCCAATCATTCGCATAAATTCCTGAAATACAAATTCATTTTAAGTGACTTGCTAAATAAACATATTACACTAACAAAACAAACACAAATTAAGATAAACAGATATAATAATTTTTATATTAGGTTGGTAAAATTTCATTAAGCATATAATGTGAGTATAGGGAATTATTCAGCCTTCTCACTGCTGTGAATATGTAACCTGATGTAGTTCTTCTTTTGAAAAAATCAATAGTAATTTACTAACTCATAACCTCTCACTGACAAGTACACTTTTCTTCTAATGTGATAGCCAGAAACAAAAGTACACATTTATGCATAAAAATGGCAAATGATTATCCAGAAATATGCAGCTTTATGTAAGAATGCTATTGGACAATTAAAGTCATACTTGCAGTAAGTAACTACAGATAAAGTGAAATAAATGTGGTTTTTTTTTTGTTTTTTGTTTTTGGTTTTTTGAGACAGGGTTTCTCTGTATAGCCTGGGCTGTCCTGGAACTTACTCTGTAGACCAGGCTGGCCTCGAACTCAGAAATCCACCTGCCTCTGCCTCCCAAGTGCTGGGATTAAAGGCGTGCACCACCACTGCCCAGCGAAATAAATTATTAAACAATGTAATAATTAACGGGATATCAGACTGCACAGGAAGCTTGTAAAGCTCAACTGTATAAAACAATTGGTATTTCTTTGTAAAGTTTCACTTTTACATATAAAATAAGTCTGAAAGAAAATGTTACAATATTAAAATGGTCATCTATGAGTAATTTCATTAAAATATTTTTTTTATTTTTTCATACTTCCCTATATTCAAGGAAACCTATAAAGTTACTTCCAAAAGTTGATTTTAGGTTGTGTAATGCTTCCTAGAGTAGATGTGCATACTCAATGTAATTTCAATGCCTTAAGGTGGCCTGGCGGCCTGGTCCCTGGCAGTGCTGGAATGACAGTCTCCCTGGATGTTCTAGTTCCTGGGAGAGCAAGGTGCTTTACAGGAAGAGGAATGCTGGCCCTCCTGGCTCTCCTCTGAAGCCTTGCCTTGTGATCATTTTTGCAGTTAGCTCCTTTCTGTTTATCTGCCATGTTGTAATGAACCCAAAGGGTCCTTAGCTTGATGCTGGAGTTTCAATCTCTACAGCTGTGAGCTTCCTTTATGAATTACTCAGTATCACATGTTTTGTTACAGTCACAGAGACAATGGACAAGGGAATACATTGGATTTAGTAAGTTTATGGTTATTTTGTTGGGTACTGTTGACTATTGTACCCAAGTAAATAATACGGTCTTCTAAAATAGGTCCTAGACAGTACTCATCTTTGGATAATGCTTCATGTGCTTAAAACAAAAGTTAAACAATAGGAGAGGGCTTGGGGAGTTAAGCAATTAAAAAACACACTGACCACTGGTGGACTTTTACTCTTCTCGATATATGTGAAGAGTTCATATAGAACCACTCCAAAGCTCCACACGTCTGAAGCCACAGAAAACTTGCTCTCTGTCAAAGATTCAGGAGCATACCTGCAATATTGAAAATCATTTAGAAGAGTTATTTCATGTAATAACAATTACACTGAAAGGGAAACAAACAAATGACAAACACCCAGGGGAACAAAGGGGACAGAAGGCGTGAGATCAGCTCCATAGACCTTTCCCTGTTGCTTTTGCTATGCTGTTCTCCCCAGAGATGAGAGACAGCTAGGACTCTGATACATGCTGAGTGGTGGGTCCTCCTAAGTCAGAGAACCTGGTCCTAAGACCATCTGACACATAAAAACCTAAGCACGTTTATGTCTTTGTTGGCAGCACCAGGCATTAAATGACAAATTTTTCTAAGACCTGAAATGAGAGATGTTCTTAAGTTGTTCTTTTAAATAAATCCAGATTAAAAATAGGGGGAGAAACATAGCTTCTAGCCAGAAATGTAACCTGGCGCCTTAAGAATTAGGAGGGAAGGGTCTGAAGAGATGGCTCAGGACTTAAGAGCACTGGCTACTCTTCCAGAGGTCCTGGGTTCAATTCCTGACACCTACATGGTGGTTCACAACCATCTATAACCATAGTCCTATGGGATCTGATGCCCTCTTCTGATGTGTAAGTGTACATACAGACAAACATCTATATACATAAAGTTCATAAATAAATAAATCTAAAAAAAATCCGAAAGAGGGAGATTATGAAAGAGAATATGGAAAATACAAAGCCACAGGAAAGAGGTGTCCTAGCCTGGGGTGGTGGGCAGTGGACCATGAGTAGTATTGTTCCATGGTCAAGCATGTCTTTATTATAGAAATAGCTAGAGAGCTATCTGACAGGTGGATCTCTGTGAGTTTGAGACCAGTGTGGTCTACACATCAAGTTCTAGGCCAGCCAAGGATACACAATGAGATCCTGTCTCAAAAACAAAACAACAAAAATCTCCAAACCAAACCAACAAGCCAACCAACCAACCAAAAAGCAATGCCACAAACTTCACCAAAGTACATTTCAATAAAAACAACAATGTTTAATACACATTTTTTTTTAAAAAAAGGGTATGCAGGACAGAATGTTATGGTCTTACTAATGAAAATGCCACACACACTGTGGTCACAGAACAGAGAGAAATCAAGTAGGAACTGTACTGCTAGCCAGTCCTTATGGTGGCAGCAAGGTTAAAGTGTTTGCAGGTTGCTGTGGGAGAACCGTCATCACCAGCCTGACACAGGGATCCTGTGTCCAACAGTATCAGTGTTCACTAGTGCACTAGTGGCAACTCCATATGGGTGCCATTAAACACTTCCTACCTGGACTTGAGGCATGCTCCATAGGAGGGAATAAAGGTATGAGAGAGTGTAAACTCAGTCAACTCTGCGGCTCAGGGAGCCATAAGCTCTCCTGAGGAGACTACTGTCATTCCTCTGGTGAATGGACCTGTGCCCATTAGATTTACCTTCTTCATAACTATGTTTATGCCTGGACAGAGTGCTGCTGCCAGCCTGAGTCTGAGAAGTTTGTTCCAGTGGTCAGCAGCAGCTGTTCTCTTGAACTCATCGGAGCTCTGATTACAGGCCTGTCAACACTCTATCATTAAATGCAGAGAAGGGCTTATGAGGTCGCATAAATATTTTAAGCAGTGGAACTGCTGGGAAAGTCCAAGCTTCACCTATGCTCCTATAATCAAAGCCTAACCAAATCCCCTGGGTCATCACAGAAACAACCAAAGAACTCCAGAACAGGAGCCAGCTAGGAGTGAGAGCGAGGCAGAGAGTGTGACTGGATATCCCATGAATGTATGAAAAATGTCACGACACCTAATATTGTGTATAATTAAATAATGCTAATATTTAAATAAGTAAAGTAAGTTATGAACTTTCCTGACAATTTTAATTAATGATCAAAATTACTTCTAATGCCCATTGCTATAAATCCAGTATTTATTTAATGCCAGGTTATAACACTATCATGGTTTAGAAAGACTGACAGTGTGAATACTAAGATCAGACTGAGTTTGAATCCCAGAGCTACAATGTATTAGTCATACACCTTGAGCAAGCTATTTAGCTTATATTTACAATAAGCGTTCTCCTGATTAAGGGAAGCTTACAGGCCTTGTCGGAAATGCTTGAGATCATAAGTGCTTCTGGTTTCAGAGCCTTTAGATTCTGGAACATTTTCTTACATAAATGTCTGTCAGTGAAGCTTCCCAACTGCAAATCCGCGGCTCTGAGAGCCATGTCAGCACCTGAGATGTCTCATGCTTCAGTGTCTTTTGATGTAAGGTTTTCAAGTTAGAACTGTCGAATCTCTAATAACCATAGGAATACATATTCTCCATGGGTTGTGATAAGGATTCCTGAGGGCTGGAGAGATGGCTCAGCAGCTGGGAAGACATACTGCTCTCCAGAAGACCCAGTTCAATTCCCAACACCCATGCCGAGTGGCTCACAATCACTGATTGTTTTTTTAAAAGGATTATTTGAGACGGTACATGAAATGCATTTAGCTCAGTACAAATGAGCTCAATACAAAGCATATGATAAATATTGCTATTATTGGGAAAAGTGCTAAACTGAACATTGTTAAATAGTATATATTAAGTAACAATAAAAATAAAGTTTGGAGCAAGTTCTCTAATTTCGCTTCATTATACTAAAAATGCCACACTCACCAGAATATGGGACTTTCACCAGGCTCCTTTACTTTGTAGTATTCTTTGTCCTGTGGCAAGACTTTGGTTAATCCGAAATCTCCTATTTTAACTCTGTTCTCGTTTTCCACCAATATATTCCTTGTTGCCAGATCCCTGTGGATATACCTTTTTGTACCAAGATATTCCATGCCCTATTGACAAAAAATATATTTTCCTTTCAGTAGTTGTATGAGTATAATGTACATGGCTGTATTCCTACAAGTTCTCTGTACTAGTTAAGAACAAGTTTGTATGATTGAATTAGTTCACCGTATTGATTTCAACCACAAGAGACATCTAGGATGCTGTGTACCTTGCATATCTGAGATGTATACTGCAGAAGTTTTTTGTGATCTATCCGTTCTTTATGTTTTTGGAGATAGTCTCGTAAACTTCCATAAGGCAAATATTCCATAATTAATCTTAGGTTGCGCCGACCTTTTAATATACAAAAGGAACACAATGTTTTACTGTGCTGTATTGTACTGATTAAGTATTGGGAAAAAAACTATATGTAAATGATTTAAGTATGTATATACAAAATCATGATGATAGAAGTGTATTACAAATTAAAGGTGATATAACAGTTAAGAATATAGATTTTTCAGTCCAAATTTTTAAAGAAGCTTTATAAATATTCTTAAGCCTTCTTTAATTATTTGTGCAAATCAAAGTAAGTTGATAGTGAGTTTTCCTCAATTATAATAAGTATCTAATACAAAAACATTTTAATAGACTACATAAGGAAACTAATTTTGTTTAAAAAAAGTTAACACTTCTTCCTTAAGGAAGTGGTGAAAAGGATGATTAACCGACCAGAGAAAATACTGATGTCATTACAGCCCAATGTCTCTCTGCACCATCTCCAAGTATCTCTTTTGGATGGATGACAGACAGGTTTGAACGGCAACATACCAGCGCTGTAGCACACTCCCTTGTACTTCACGATGTTGTCGTGCTGCAAGGATTTCAGGATTTCAATTTCCCTTTCAAAGTCTCGGAGATGCTCTTCGGTGCTGTGCTGGAGCTTCTTAACAGCCACGACCTCCCCAGTGTTGTCCTGCAGCGGGTCATAGCGGCACATCTCCACACTCCCGAAGTTACCCTAAACACAAGGACAGTACGGTGGAAGCCAAATGATTTCAAGACAACTTCATATTAATTTCTAAATATGCAGAAAATGCTGGCAGCTAGAATGAGTAGAAAGAATTCTCAGCTTATGTTAGACAACTTTTGAAGCAAGAAATAGAAGTATTATTTTTAAAAACTGGGTGGTATGCCTACAAACAACTTCTTTGAGATGAATTATAGAATGAAAACCAAGTAGTAGACTTTGAAAAGATAGTTAAATAAGTGGTGAACACTGGTTATTAAAGACAAATCTTGATTTGTACACTAGGAGCTATGGTAAGTTTCCCTAACTGACGTCTGGTAATCTTTCCTCTATCTCACTGCACTGCCGTCAATGATGAGGATTGTTATGGCTGAGTACTTATACAATAGAGGCCTAATTCCTAATGTCTTATACAGCAGAGTGAGAAAGATTAAACAGTCACAAGGATGGCACTATTATAACAAGAATAACCCTAGAACTTTCTCTTTCTGAATGGCTATATCCTTCAATTATTCCCAAGAGTATTTTACAGAAAAAGGAACAAGAGTCAATTATTAGTTAGGCTAACTTTAATACAACCCTCAATGTTTAGTTTTAGGGAAGCTTATTGAAACTTCTAATGTAGGTAAAGGTCTCAGTGAAGCCTTCATGTTGTATCTATGCCAAAATCCAATTCACAGTGAGATATGGTATAGAGCCCTGTAAACAAACAAGGACCAGTGCTTGTCACTACAATTGGGTCTGCTAAGCACTGTGGCTTTTCTCATCCTGTTCTATAGTATAGACTGTACACTACAGGCTGTGCATGAGTGCACAACCTTTTCATGGAACCTCTGCTAATGAACATGGTCACTCAAGGTCCTACGCTCTAAGCAGTCAGCTGATTTCTCCCAAGAGGACTTTGGAAAGCAAACAGAACACTATTTGTTCCCTTCTCGATTACACTAACTTACTCTGAACTACTAACTTCCCCTTCCAGGTGAGAGTCACAGAATACCCTCAGCTTGTGAAGTACTCCTTAGTTTAATATCCATCCTCTTAAAAGATGTTGAATGTGCACTGTATGTTAAAGAACCTGAGGTATTCTTCAGTAAAGTGTTATTTAACAGAAAATTTCTCTAATATTCAACAATTAAGCTTTTTTCTCTACAAATACCCTTAATTTTTTTTGTGAGAACTATATTTAGTAACTCTAGTCCAAAGCCTTTTTGTTTCCAAGAAAAGTGTTTGATTATATTCTATTTGAAAACTTATGACAGTTTACCTTGCCAAGTTGCTGTAGAAATTTCAAGTGTCTCTCTTCAAACTGTGTAGGGTCCCTGTCTTCAAAAGCACCAGAAAATCCTAGGGCACCTATTCTCATGTTTGGTAGCATGTCATTTTCTGTTAGTAGTTCATAATCTGTAGAAATAAGGAATGACACTATTCAATTGGCAAATACATCCTCTGGGTAAAACTGATATTCAAGGTAAGAAGCAGAATGAGTTTAGAATACTAAATAACACAGGGAAACTTAAAATTATTTAGATTATATTAATAGGGGCCTTTAATTATTACCCAGACCTTCAAGATAGATTTTTTCAAAAGGTAAAATACTATTTTCCAAAACAGGCAGTTTCAGTATTCATAAGCTAAGGTTCTACTCAACTCATGTATTGAGAGAGGTAAGTCCTGCTGGCTAGCTGTGAGGCAGGTGTGCATTTATGTCAGCACTCCAGAGGTAGGGACAAACAAAATAAACCTATCTTGTGTTTACACAAACAAGTCAATTACAAAATAGATGGGAAAAAACAAACAAAAACAAAAACAAAAAAAGCCGGGCAGTGGTGGTGCACGACTTTAATCCCAGCACTTGGGAGGCAGAGGCAGGCGGATTTCTGAGTTCGAGGCCAGCCTGGTCTACAGAGTGAGTTCCAGAACAGCCAGAACTACACAGAGAAACCCTGTCTCAAAAAAAAAAAAAAATAGATGGGACCTAGAAAAACCAAAAGGGGCCTTGTTAAAAACTCCATGTAGAACAAATGTGATCAGATAAACATACTTCTCATTAATTAAACATACAATGAATTCTAAAACTCTTGTTTTAGACACAGATAATAAATTTTGTGGTTAAGATTTCTTGTTTGTAAAACAAGTTAGTAAAATTAGGTTATAAATGGAGAAAAGATCTTTTAAAACATAAATATTGCCCAGTCAAGTAGGACATATATACAGTAAGACATCAAGGACTGCCTCATATGAAAGTACAGAATTAGAAACTACCCAATTAAAGCAACAGAGATCGGAAGACAGTGAAGAGGGAGACGGCCCCTTCAGTACGCACCTGGAGTAAACAGGCTGTTAAGATCACGGATGATAGCTCTGAAAGCAGGCCTGAAATCTGGCTCATAATCCATGCAATTATTTATAAGATTTGCTAACTCTGTCCACTTGGGTGCAGGAAGCTGGTGCTTATCTTCATAAAACTGCAGCTTCTATAATTAAAGGCCCAAATGATAAAATAAATTCCACAGTGCTGTTACTTCACTTCCTTTTCACAATTAGAAGAGCTAGGAAATATCACATCTCGTGGAAGAAACCTGAAGAATCAGAGTACCTCTCCCTTCAGCCTGTGTGAACTTACTCTTTGAGAATCCAGAGCACTCAGAGGCTTGTCTCCTCCACTGCAGATCTCCCACAGGGTGGTACCAAAACTCCACTTGTCTGTTGCCAGGTTTAAATTTTTAGGATTTTCAATGCATTCAGGTGGTACCCATGGTATTCTCTCCTGAAGAACTTTTAAACAACAGGAACAAACTATCGTTAAGAAACCTCCACAACCATTATTTTATAAGTGAAGAGTTTCAAACTTATTTGAATAATCTAGTCTTTTGTGGCTGTACAGGACTGGCTCACGATTACCAAGAGCTGGCTGAACCCTGAGACCCTCCTTCAGGAACTCAGCTTTCATAATTCAGATCCACAAAGACTGAGAAAATTTCCCACAGAGACATATTTTTAACAGTGTTGTTAGAATTAGTATCCTGTGTAATGATTTTAGATCAACTAAACTCCTTTCCATTAACCAAAGTGTCTCAGTGGGCACACCATTTCCACCCCTTCCCATTAGTCCTGTCTCTCTCCCCACCTCACCCCTTCTCTACCACAGAGAGAAACATACAAAATTTGTCTTAACATCTACTCTCAATATTCAAAATATATGTATTTCTACATGTAAGCAATGTTACATTGTTGATGGGTATTTTAACGACTTAGCAGCAGACGTCACTATGACTTGCACATAGGCAAGGCCCAACAGCACCATTACAGTAGACAAACGATTAAATTATACCAAAGAGTCTCAGTATGGAATTGGCACACTGGGTAATGTTCAAATCATGGGATTTCCTAAATAAAGTTTCAGTGGTCCTTAACACCACTGCAAAGAGGGCATCTAATGAAGGAAGAAACAGTATAAACCTCCCTGCTAGGATTCTGATAAAGAGAAAAAGTTAAGAAAATGAAGATACTATCTACCTTTTGGTAAAGCAACATCGATATGTTTCTATATACCGAGGAGGTTAAAGAGTTCATTAGTCCCTCTCTCCTTTACCATATACATTTTTTTCTATTTAACTTCTCATTCCAAAAGGTAAATTTCCTCAAATGAAGATCTAAAATCCCTGTGAGGTTTTCCTTTCTGCACTACTGTCTGATTATCGGTGTCCTTACTTTGGAGTCAGCTGTCAAAGTTAAGTAGCATTGGCTAAACCAGAATATTGTACACCAACGCACAAAATCTGATTAATATGGATTCTTAATTTAGAAGATTCATGTGCCGGGCAGTGGTGGTGCACACGTTTAATCCCAGCACTTGGGAGGCAGAGGTAGGTGGATTTCTGAGTTCAAGGCCAGCCTGGTCTACAGAGTGAGTTCCTGGACAGCCAGGGCTACACAGAGAAATCCTGTCTCGAAAAACGAAAAAAGAAGAAGGAGGAGGAAGAGGAGGAGAAGAAAGAGGAGGAGGAGGAGGAGGAGGAGGAGGAGGAGGAGGAGGAGGAGGAGGAGGAAGAAAATTAGTTAAAATACAGCCAGCAATATGGTTGAAGTGGATAAAGGTGCTTGCAGCCAAGCTCAAGAACGAAGTTCAACCCTGAGGCCTCCTGGTGGCAGAAGAGGGCCAACTCCCACTAGTTACCTTCTGCCTTCACACTTGTCCTGGGCCACATGCACGCCTCCTCCCATACAGATACATACACAGAATAATAATTTCGGTGTATGGTAACATACTTTTTTCACAAAAGGAGAAATGAACATAGTTACAATTTATCCATAACAGTTTAAATTACTAAAAGTAGTAGCTAAATGTCATTAGTAAGCAAGAACAGTAATAAACTAGAATTAAAGGGAAATGAACATGACTTTCAAGGTTCCATCCAAACAACATTTCAGAATGCTGAGTGCAATTGACCCCGAACTTACTGTCCTTCGGGAGAACTGTAATGCTAATGCCGGGATCACTAAGTTTGATGAAAGGTGGATTCCCAGCTTTCCTGTCTTCTTCTCTGATAAGCAGGATATTTTTGGCACACACATTCCCATGAATAAGGGATTTTTCTTCCTATTAAAGTTAAATGCACATGCATTCAAATATCAATATACAAATATGTGTGCATATAATATGTCCAAAGCTACAATGCAGATTTAAAGAGGACAAAACACAGCATAGTTAATACTGACGTGGAACATACTTTAGACAATAAAAGGAAGTCTTCTGTTTCTTTAACTGATGCAATAATCTATACCCACAATGAAATGAGCATTACTTTTCAAAGGAGACTCCAAATGATAAGCACTTCTAGGTGGTAGCTGGCATTAGGAAAGACAACTACAGTCCACTAAACATATACTAATAACTGGCAGGCAGTCTGGCATTCTGCACCTGTCAATACTGTTTTCTCACTGCGTGCTGTTCAATGCCTACAAACACCGCAGTCTACTTTCTGCTACTGCAGCAGCACAATATGCGCCTATAAACTCAAGTGATATAAACTACGGGTGTCGACGGTAGTTGCAGTGCTGGTGGAGCAGCACTGACTTTCCCAGATGAGCCACCCCTCCATGTGCATAGCCGCCCCTTTCCCAGCTGAGGCACCCCTCCATGTGCATAGCCACCCCTTTCAATGCCTAACACACTGAACGGCTCAGCACTCATTCCAAGACTTCCATCTGCTCGCCAGGTTAAAAGAATTAATTATAGTACTTTCACAAAATAAACCGGGGAGTTTTAGTTTATTAAAAAGAATACAGAAATCACTTACTAGAAAATGCATGGCCCATGCCAACTGTTTAGCCACGCCAAGTTTCCATAATATATTTATGGAATTTTTGTTTTTTTTCAGGTATGTATCCAGTGATCCAAATTTTACAAACTCTTGAACTAGAATGTCTGCATTAAAATATAGATAATGATAAACATCCAATTATACATCCAATTAAAAATGTATAATTCAAAATTTCAAAGTACTTAGGTTATTTGTGGATACAATGGGTAAATAGATTAAATTAAGCAAACTGTACTAACATAAAGGAAACAATAAACACACATCACTGTACTTTTGTTTTTAGCTTATTCACACCAGTAAGAGGTAGGATGCTAAACAATGCATACCTAACACATAATTTTATGTATAACATACTATTTATTATGCAGTGTAAATATACATACTCCAGCATAACTAGGGAACCTGCCTAGTGCCAACACTCAGTCACTTCAATCAGTTTCATTAATAATTCAGTCTATCATTTACATGCTTTGCTTTCATAACTCCAAATAAGTTTGTACTGAAAGGACCAGTTGCTCCAGTGTTACACGAGTCACTCACAATCTGTACTGTTATGTGCACACAAAAGCTTGTATTTGTTGACTGTAACCCTCCACCCATCATTTGGGTATTATAGTAAGGCATATCAACTCTATTCTACATTTTAGCTTTAAATATCAGTTTGCTTTTTTTTTTTTTTTTTTTTTTTTTTACAAAATATAACTAAAAAGTCCCAGTGCTTTCAAGCTCAACAACATCTGTAATTCCATGGTTTTACTGATACTTACAGTAGTCCTAAATAATAAGGCTTCTCTGAGACAGGTATGACAGTAAGACAAGAAAAGCAGGTGGTTTTACTTACTCTCCTCTCCACAGACACACACTCCATAATTCAAAACCAAATGCTTGTGAGAAAGCTGACTCATCATGCTTGCTGCTTCAAAGAAAGACTAAAAGGTAAAGGGGGAAACAAGAAATGTGAAGGAATTTCTGTTGAATGATGTCTATAAGTGTGCAAAATTCAGAAAGATACCTCCTGACTGAAGAGAAATAGTGTTTATGTCCTACTCTCAGCTGGACAATGGGATGTTTTTAGTACGGTGCCTTTCAAGCTTATTCTTAAGTAGCTGGAACTGTGGAGTAGTCTCCATGGAACGGTAAAGCTCCGAGTAGCTACACTTAAAGGGAGCAGCCTCAGTATACGTAAAGATTTAATAATATCTATAGCACAACACTGAAAGCAACTAGTGTATTAATATGATTTTTAAAATCCTACTAATTTTTGGCTGGGATGATGGCTCGGTGGTTAAGAACATTGGCTGCTCTTCCAGAGGACCTGGCTGTGGCTCCTGGCACCCACACGATCATTAACCACTGCTTGTAACTCTAGTTCCAAAGATCCTATACCCTCTTCTGACCTCCACAGGCACTACGCACATATATGATGCACAGATACACATGCAAAACAACCATGCACATAAAGTAAAAATAAAGTAATTAAAAAGGAATAACTAAATAAACGCTAAGGATAAAATTTACAGAAAAAATAAAATTCTCGAACATTCTGTAATCTCCTCATCACGCAGTCATAGATGCTCCTTGTTTAAAATGACAATTCTGATAGACCTCTAGGAGCTGATGAGGGAGCTCTAGTGTCCAGAAGGAGTGTAATACCAGGCCAGTCAGCTTTCATACTGTGTTTTCCATCCAGCCCTTTCTCTGGCTAACGGTCTTTGTTTAATACACAATGTCATCAGCAGGCCAGCTTGTTCCTGCTCTGCACGGCATTCTTCCTCACTCCTTTCTTTTACTTTTTGGCTTTCATCTGCTTTGCTTTGCAGACGTGCCCTCAGCCCCTGGGATACAGATCCATTCTTGATCAGTTTAGCGCTCTCTCTGGGGTCTGCCCTTTGCCAGAACTGCTCTCCCCATCCTTTGCTATTTCCATTCCCGCTTCTAAACTCCTCTCCCACTAGTCTCAGGGTGGGTTTCCTTTTCTTTCCACTTGTACCCATAACAACTAATGATTCACACATACAGAACTGTCATTGTTCCTCTTCTTCTTAAAGTGATTAGTGCTTGCAGGAGACGGTTTATAGTTTGACTATTGCTCTCTACTCACTGTGGGTCTATTTTTGGATAGTGGGCTGCTACTGAGGGCAATATTCTATTTTATAGATATTTTACAGAACAGAGTCGGGTGCCCTGAACAGCACTCTACCCAAGTGCATTATATATGAATGAAACCATGAGAGAATAAATACATTCTAAAACAAGCAAGGTGGAGAGGAATAAATACACCCAGTGTTGATCTCTAGCATACACACTACATACAAACATACATACATACATACACACACACACACATACACACATACATAAGCCCCACACATAACCCTAAAAATAGAACTTCCACATGACCCAGCTATACTGCTTCTAAGCATGGACCCAAGGACTGTATCCTACTAGAGACACCTACATATCCATACATACAATTGCTATGTTCACAATAGCAAGGAAATGGAATCAGCCTCAAGGCCCATCTATTGATGAATGGATAATGAAAATACATATACACAATGAAATATCATTTAGTCACAAAGAAAAAATTATTAAACTTGAAAGAAAATAAATGTAACTGGAAAAAACAGTATTAAGTGAGGCAACTCAATTTGGTTCAAAAAATAAATTTTACATGTTCTCTTATAATTTTTATGCATGTGAATGTATAGAGTCTAAATACAAGCTAGGAACTCATGAAAGGGAAGAGGGGGTAACGGAATGTGTAGATATAAAAGTAGAAGGGAAGGTTAGAGACGAAAAGATTAAAGGATGGAGGAGGGAAGGAGAGAAAGGGAAGAGGAGGGGAGGAGGAGGGGAGGACAAAGGGAGGAGGGACAAGAAGGAGAGGGACAATCAAGAAAAACTAATGTGTGAAAATCCATAAGGGAATTAGATATCTGTAAACTAACCAAAACTAAAATAAAATAGAAACGTAAGACTCTGAACAGAGGGATCTGTGTGATAAAGCTGTTCCCAGAAGCCATAGGTTGCTAAGTGGTAATCCTAGCACCAGGAGTGGGCTACCTCCCTACACATGGTTGGCCAGTGAGGCCTGAGGCCCTCAAGACAATACACACAATTGCCATGGCTAGTGGTTGTGCACCACTATAAGACTATAAGAGCCCAGTGGTGAAGATGCCACACATCTGAGTCTTAGGACATAAATAAATCATACCAGAACTGGGCTGGAAGCTTCCTCCCTGCTGGCCAGCCCTCACGGTGCTGGCTGCTAGGCCAAAACTGTCAAGAACAGTCTTCTTACCCAACTATGGCTCCTGTATGCAACATTACCAAGCAGCCAGACAAGATACCCCTAACAGCTCAATGTGACATGTCTCTTAGCAGACTGCTCTCTGATTAGATTTGAGACCTGCTTTGCTGGAGGAATTCATGTCTGGAAATCTGGTCAGAAGGTTGTGAGTGGGGAGGTTGTAGGCCTGATGGTAAAGCTACGGTTAGTGTTCTGCTACATGAATATGGTATCTCCATCACACTGCCCTGAAAATAACTGTCTGCCCATAGACTCGTGTTGTTGTCAGCTTTGGTCCTGACAAGCTTCGTTTTGCAGTGGTCAGCAGTGACCACAGAGGCTGAAAACTTGTCAAAGTACTAAGAATAAGTGACTCTTAAATTCTCAGCCATAAATAAGACATCTATATCACCCAGTCTGTGATTAACTAAGATATGTCCTCTATATGAGTATGTATCTAAACGCGTAGTTTCTAGTTAGTGGTGCTGTTTGCGGAGATTATGGGAACTTTAGGAGACAGAGCCTAGCTAGAGGAAGTAGTTCATTGAGGACAGTCTTTGAAGGCTACCATTGGTTCACACTTCCAGTTCTCACTGTTCCTCCTCCTGTCACCAGGTCATGCCTGCTCTGCTGTGATGGACTCTTGTCCTTCTGGAATTACAGGTGAAAAATAAACTCTTTATCATTTTCTTTTGGTTGTAGTGTTTATCACAGCAATGGGAAAGTAAGTAATATGCCCTACAAGGACCATTGTAGGAGAAATCGTGTGACAGCAAGAGGAAGGTGGTATGGAGCACTCAACACTTGCTCTGGCCTTCACATGGATGTCGCACTCTTGAACTCAAAGCAGTTGTGTTAACCTGACCAGGTATACACAACATGAGGCCTCTCAATGCTCTTTCATGGAAGGAGGAGGCGCTCATGGGACCTCCCACTGCCTAAGGAGTGTACTGGTTGATAGGGGGTGGAGACATAGTTCTTTAATGGTAAGGTGAGTATATTCCTGTAACTAAACCTTCACCCGCACTCATGTAAACAACCCTAATAAAGCTCATTAGGTCACTCAAAGATGAAACAGTAGAACAGAGGTTAGTTGGGAATAGAGAGAGGATCACTGGGAGGAAGACATGAGAAGGTAATAGACTAAATGCTTGAAATATATTCTGTGTGTTTCATATTTCATAATGAAACCTATTTTATATATATGTAATAAAAGTATAAAATATTATAACTTTGAAGTCACACACATGCATTTAATGTGATTATGAATATACACACCTACATAGCATAAAAAGACATGTGAGGGACCCAACAAACATACACACCTCTGAATAGTTTCTATGTGCTTTATCTAGGACTTTCAAAAGAACTTCTGTTTCATGCAGTTGACCATAATCTCCAACTTCTCTTCTTACACCTTTAAAAATTTTTGTAAAAGTACCTTGGCCAAGGCTTTCATTCTTTAAAAGAAAAAAAAAAGGTAAATGGGAAGTAAATAAAGACAGATGAAGTAAAGGAATTAGAAAATAGAAAATACATTCAATGACAAAAATGTTTTTTAAAATGCTAAATATTTCCATTATGAACTGAATCTAAATTTGAGGTTTGAAATTCTCTGTTCTTCTTCCTTAAATAATAATTAAAAACAAAAAAACAAGGATTAATAAACAAAGTATATTTTACTATCATACTTTCGTGTCTCCTGCAGTGGCTATAATTATTGCACTTCTTAGAGTCAGCATTTGCCTAAATTTGTTTACAAATGATCCTTCTTCTTAGGCTTCCCTCCTAGTACAGTACAAAGTCAGGACAGTGTGGAGTGTGGAAGCAGAGCCTGATTTGTTTCTTACCGCTCACCAGCTGCCCTTCAGGAGGCTACAGAATGGCTCTGTGCTTCTGCTACCTGGGTGTTCTCACTCCTGCCCCTCCCTCTCCCACTTCCCCTTCTGGGCCCTATGTGGCCCAGGCTGGCCTTGAACTCAGTTTGCCTTGGACTTTTCATATAATGAGCAATAATTCACTTTCTTGTAGAGCTGCTTTGATTAGTAAGTGAATAAACACACAAAAGGACCAAAGCCTGAAACAAACTAGATGACCATCTACCACCACCGCTATGAGTACTAACATTTATCACGTATCTGCCCAGAATAACTGCTGAAACCTGCGTCTTGAGGCAGTGCCGCTGTGTTCAAATGCTGTCATACCTGAAAAATAATGCCTTCGCATTCTGCAGCTCTGCCCCTGTCTATGTCCACCCGCTCATTCTCTCTGTCCCTCTCCCCCTGCCCTTCTCCCTCTCCCTCGTGTGGTCTCACTGCGTCTCAGGCTGAGGCTGGGGAATTGACTATTGTACCCCAAGCCAGCCTCAAGCTTTCTATCTTCCTACCTTAGTCTCCTGAGGACACAAGTGACAGGCATAACCAATACACTTCATTTAAAAATTCTGGGGTATGTTGTTATATTTGAAGTGCTGTGACTAAAGTCAGGGCTTTGTACATGCTAGACAAACACCCTATCACTAAGCTATATCAAGTCTGTTTCACAGTTCACTGGCTCTCATGTCAGAGGTGGGAGAAGAAACTGATTTCTAAATTGTTAACTAAAGCAGCAAGTACAACAGTAGATTCTACACAAGTATTCCTTTTTCCCTGGAATCCTGTCTTTAATTAATACATCTCAAATGTCTTCATTTTACTGTTTTCAAGTCTTCTTTAAAGACACCTACATTTTATGGTCTATACTTGAAAATTATATAAAATTATTAAATTTTAAGTTTAATGTTTGTTTGGTTTGATGACCTCTACTTAATCTTGGGTAGTTTTACTGTATGTTTTAATTTCTTAATTAAAAGCTTACTTTTGGAGTGGCTTACCTATGGGAATGCTGGATAGCCTGAGTTAAAAGAACATCTGTCTTTCCTTTTCGGTTGTTGTTGTTTGTTTTGTTTTGTGTTATGTTTTGTGTTTAAGGAAAGGTCCCATATAGCCCAGAATCACCCTCGATTCCATATGCAGCTAAGGATGTCCTAAAGCTCTTCATATGTCTTGCTTCTCTCCCCCAAGTGCTAGAACTATACTCCTGGATCAGAATGTGGTTTTCAAAAACCTTGCATGTGTTTCTCCCAAGCATCTATTGGGAGACAGATGTCTTTAACTTACTGGCTTAGGGTTTACCAGATCATGTAAGTAATATAACAAAGCCTAACCCAAAAGCTAATAAATTCCTTTTTTCTCACTAAATCAATTAAAATAGACAATACTCATTTTCTTCACTTCTTGCCAGTAGACAAACACTTCACACTCTGTACACTGGACGCACACTCCTGTACTTCACCCTCTATACACTGGATGCACACTCCTGCCGGTTCTAGCTCTGTCCCAAGACACATCTCGCTTCTAACTCGCACCGTGAACAAACCTCGGAGCAGCCCTCTGTGTAATGCTTTTCATTCTAACCTCTACGCTGATCTAGGCTAGGAGACTAGCCTCCTGCTTTCTCACACCATACGCTAGTCAAGCCGTCACCTCTTAGTGCTAGTTTATTTTCAGCTCCTTAAAGATAATCTACTGAATTCCCCTTGCTTGCGTACATGGGAACTAAGACAGGTATCTTTACTTTTAAACTTCCCAAAGGAATTTTTTAAACTTCTGAAGAGAACATAATTCCATTATTAATTAATTCTGCTAATTTATGCTGTAATATTGGCATATTTTCTAAGATTTATGAATTTTATAAATGATGAACCTTGAAATTCAAGTAAAATTTTATAAGTTATAATATAATATGCCAAATATAACATGAATGTAATTATCAGCTAAGAAATTTAAAAAAGACATTGCTTTAAAGGGACATAGAAACCACCCAATTATCAAGATTGGCTTACAAATATCAAATCTTCATTCCTGATTTTGTGAAACACCATTTGATTCACATTATTATGTCTCTGTAATGTTGGTGAGATCTGAACATCAGAAACACCATTTGTTCTGAAGACAAGAAGGTTTGATTTATCTGAAAGAAAAAAAAAACACAATGCATCTGCTTCATATGTGGGTAGGTCTGTATATAATCAAAGTAAAGCAAAATTATGACCTGTTCCAGATAAGTGACATGAGTGTGCTTTGCGTCTAACAAACTCTCAACAGCTGCTTAGTCAGTTTAGGAGTTTTATTATCCAACTCTGATTGAAATACTAGCTAACAAACACATTCAAACTTACAATCACTTTTTAACAAAATTTATTTTCTGGGAATTTTAAAGAAATTATTTTAAGAGGTTCATGATCTTACTGTTTCATTTTAAAATCAAGAAACTAAAATCCTAAAAGCAAATGAAAGAATTAACTTAGAACACAGAGAATTTGGCTGTGGAGTTTGGAAGTGCCGTAAGCGAATGGCCGACAAGTTTAGATCAGTTACCTTTAGAACACCTTAGAATGGAGCTGCCTGTCGCTCTCGGGCTATAGGTACCAAAGCACTCTAGAAAATCAACTAGCTTCCAGACAGCACTGCCTTTTGCCTACTTCTTTTCAAATCACTACCCAACATGTGCAGTCCATGACTAGCATCTCTACAGTAACTGGAGTGTTATGTCACCTTTTGGCCTTGGGGGACAGCATTTGGTGAACTGGAAGATGATACTGTCTGAGCGCACAGTTTCCATCTGGTAGCAATTCAAAAGGTCCTTAAGATTACTGAAGTTCCTCTTAGTCCCACTGAGGTTGTATTCTCCATTCTCATTCTTCGTAATCAAACAGTGTTTATATTCAATGACATTTTCTCGCTATGAAAGTTTAGTTATAAAAAGGACAAAAATCACAATGGTAAATATACAGATTATTCTGCCAAAAGGGCTATCAAAAAATAACCAACAGAACAGTTAGACGGCTAAGCTCTAAATCCTAAGGCAGTGCCTCAGGAAGGCATTTATCACAGCGCCACATCCTCCAGAAGAGCTCAGTAACTGATTTCAATGGAAGAAATAATGCCCAACGCCACCATCTGTAACAGCTCCCCCTGTCTGCTCCCCACACCTCCATTCTGCTGATCAACACACACCCTGATGTGACTGTATCCACCCCTTAACTCACTGAAGTGATAAAATACTTGATTGGTGAGACCCCCCTAACAGGACTAACTCCTTTCCACAAGCAAAGACTATGCATTTCATTGTATACTATTCTATTTCTATAATTATCTGTAATATGACACTTTTAGTTCTATCTTAAAAACATTTGTTTTATGCAATAAACAATGACCCACTTTACTCATGTTACTAATTTGACCTGCTTTATTATTGCATCCATCCTAGCTGGAGTCATTTATAAAATAACTGTTAATCCCTCAAGGCACTCTCATGTCTTTTATATTTTAAAAGATCTTTCTGAATAAATAAGATATTTTCTGATATAGTCTATTTTTGCTTATACTAATCACAATGCTTAACTGAGTACTTTTAGTATACTTTAAAATTTTTGTTTTCCAACAGATTTTTTCAAACATAGTTTACATCATATATTCTCTAATTTCTTATCACACCTATTAACCACAATGATAGACATAAAAATGTAAGCATGTTGAATAAATAATTTAACAGTTTATATAATGGTAAAGTGAAGAGATACATACACCTTCTGCATTATAGACAATTCCTTCTCTACATGTGCTTAGTACAAGACAGGTGCTTTAATGAAAATAACTGAATAACATCTTTACTTTCTATATTTTTGTAAAATAAATCTAGATGTTGTTACAAATCCTCTCAAGATTTACAGCACGTAGCTGCCTTAAGTATATTTTAAAGATAACTATGGATAAAAACAATCTTAGATGAGATCCAAATTTACATGCATTTAACAGTGAGGGTCCACTGCACTCTTACATTCAATCATGTCCCTGGTGCTTTGAATGTCCCAGTTAGTAAACTACTCTAGAAATCAGAAAAATGTTCTTTTCACTTATTTTCCTCTAAATGATTTGGTAAATATTTTTGGTTTTTGTAAGCAGATTCCAGTATACTTAATGAAATACAACTTGACACATGGCTAATACTCAAACATCAAAAAATAAAATGAATGTCAAAAACAATGACATTATAGTTATTTATATATTTACATTAACTTTATGGATTATTTATTTTATAATATATTGATATGCCAAGCATTATTGTGCCAATTACCATCTCAAGAACTATAATTCTTAGTATTAAAATTAAAATACTTCTTGAAGGAGAAATACAGATTACACAGCATGTTGCTATTAATAAATAAGACACACTAACCTCAACAGCAAAGGTCAGAAAGTATTTGTTAAAGTCCTTAGGGCTACATCGAAGTACATACAGTCCAGTCTGGTTACCTGCCTTCTTTAGTTTGCTAATGGCAAAATCCATTCTACAAGTTAAGGAGAAATAACATGAACAGCAGCATGCATATATAACTGACAAAAAAAAATAACATGAGTGAATAACATGAACGGCAGCATGCACATATAACTGACAAAAGGCCACAACAGCCAAATAAAAACCAGTTCTTAGAACACTCACTACTATATATGTACTTACAAAATTTGTATTCAAGAGAAATAAGTATATCAAGTTATTTTGTAATGAGTTCAAACCAATTCAAGGAATAATTATTCTATTTTAAGACACCATGAAACAATAAAACCACGAGAAAAATTCATTCATTTTAATGTTCTGCTTTCTTTTTACAAATTGAATCATTTAAAAAGTACACTCCCATAAAATCTCTCATGTCTCTTCTATCACAGAAGTACTAACACAAAATTATCTTTCCATATTTACAACAACAGTATTAAATCTAACAGAAGATCTGCAGTGACGGGGAAATACTAGTCCTAAAATTTGCTGTATGCGGAAAGAATTAGTGTATGCATAAAATTCAAAGACACAGCATGTGAAAGCAAGATGTAATTTACATAACAATAGGAATGCCTGCACAGTTGCTGGTCATAAGGTTGCTGTCCTGGTGAGATTTTTTATCAAGTTGAAACCAAGAGTCACCTGGAAACAAGGCGCCTCAACTGAAAGACTGCTCAGACTGAACCGGCCTGTGGCCATGTCTGGGAATTGTCTTGACAGCCTACTCTGTGTGGTGCTTTCCTTAAGAGAACAGGCTGCCCGTAAACAAGAGAGTGAGAAAGGAAGCATGGCTTTTTCCATGGTTTCTGCTTCAGTTCTTGGTTGAGCCCCTGCTCTGACTCCCTGCATGATGGATTGTGACCTGGACTGTAAGCAATTAAAAACCCTCTCTCCAAGTTGCTTCTGCTCAGCAACAGAAAGCAAACTACAACAGTAATTCTTAGCCATGTGTATTGAAAGGTAAAGAATTTAAAATATAATTAAATATAAAATTCACACTATATTTAGTTAGAATCTAAACACTGAGCCTTTTCAGCAATGTGGAAAGTTCCCCTGCACAGTACTAACCTAGAAGCATGGGTATAATACACGCTGTGCTTAAGCTTAGTAGAGGTTAGACTAAACAAAACTAATGTCAAATTTCAAATTTATCACTGTAGTTCCTTCACAGGATTTCAAAGTTAATAAAAGATAAACAGGAGTGGGGGCTGGAGAGATGGCTCAGTGGTTAAGAGCACTGAATGCTCTTCCAGAGGTCCTGAGTTCAATGCCCAGCAACCACATGATGGCTCACAACCATCTGTAACGGGATCTAATGCCTCTTCTGATGTATCTGAAGACAGCTACAACGTACTCATATAAATCAAATAAATAAATCTTTAAAAAAATAAACAGGAGAGGTCTTCATTGTTTGCTTTCAGTGTCAGAGAGTGACTGCACACTGAGCTAGTCTTAGGCAGACACAACTTCTTTTTTTTTTTTTTTTTTAAATATTTATTTATTTATTTTATTGATGAGTACACTGTAGCTGTCTTCAGACACACCAGAAGAGGGCATCCAATCTCATTACGGATGGTTGTGAGCCACCATGTGGTTGCTGGGATTTGAACTCAGGACCTCTGGAAGAGCAGTCAGTGCTCTTAACCGCTGAGCCATCTCTCCAGCCCCCAGACACAACTTCTTTAAGACTATTTTGGATGTGCAGACAATCACACCACGAATATGGATCCTTCAGATGAGAACTGATTGTGTGGCTGTATAACACTTCCCTCTGAAAAATGTATCTCTCTGGAGACCAGGACAGCATGTCAGTGTCTTCCTTTACAACTGCTTGTTGCTTTGAGAAAAGGTCTCTCACTGAACCGGCAGCTTTCAGCTGTCTGGCTGGCCTGAAAGCTCTCAGCATGTGCCTGTCTGCCCCCATATCTTACAGCAGCTATGTTCGGTTTTTACAGGAGTACCTGGGATTCAACCTTGGTCCTTGTGCTAACCTACCAGTCAGCTCCCTAGAACTGTACTGTAATTCAGCATTACTCACGAAATCGGGCCGTGGCAGTTGCTGTGTATGTTTTCAAGCACGGCTGGAGGAGCCACCTCCTTACAGAGGTAATGGTGCGCATCCGCGGTTAGTCTGTAATACCCGTCAATTAATGACACAAATGACAAGGCTTCTTTTAATGAGCTAAGTTCTATTTCCTAATCAAAAAAGGAAAACCATAGAATTAAAAAATCAATTAAGTTCTAATGTTGGAAATTCTCTATACCCTACTCTGGTTAATTTCCTCTAAATTGTTCAAATATTTTTATAACTTCCCATTACCCAGAATAATCTAACAGATCCGTCTATCTGACATGTGAGACAGACCCTCCCAAACACAGGCTTAGTCCATCTTCCCATAATTCAGTAACCTTGGTACTAAGACTTCTGAAAAATTCTAAAGTATAAACACTACTAATGTATAATACAAACTTACCAAAATTTTACCGTCTTGTTTATGGACAGTTACAATTCTACTTTCATTTGAGCATTCCTGGTTTGCTTGCTTAATACTGACATCAATAATATCAGGAAAATCACAGTATAACTGTAAATCCTGTAATCAAGAGCATTTAGGAAGTTACAGTGACATTTCAAAGCTTGAGATGACGATGATAGTCACTTAAAACTCTTTAAAGGGATATTGATAGCAATGTGCAGGCATTAAATGAGATTACTTCTCCTAAATATTGAGCCTGAAAACTAAGTTTATGTATCTTGTATTAACTTAAAAATGAGAGCATTAAAGTATGACAGTGTGATATAGAATTTAATCCAATTAATATTAAAAAGAACAATGCTCAGAAAAGCGAATTATCAACTGTTTTAAAAAAATAATATAATACTAAATCATTGAAATCATATATGAATGATACATGTGAACAAGTTTAAGCATTGCAATACAAATATAATAAAACTAATTACATTATCAAAATTAGTTAAACTTTTTCATTTAATTGGCTTTCTGATTATACTTAAATTTCAATAAGTTAAAGAATAAAGGAAACAATGTTAATTTTAAATCACTTAGAGAATTCAATCTTTCAATCTTTCTCTGAAATTATGTCATTACTAAGTATTTTGCCACAAAAAATTAACAAAACATTGTGATACAAACGATAGTTATAACTTTTTACACAAATAAAATTTCTATCAGCAGAGACCGTCAAGAATTCACTCAAACAGCCACATTGACTTTGCTTTATGGGCATTCTACTTAAATAAGAAAGAGCAAGAATGTATCATTAGGATTACCTGTTCTGTCAGTGTCTCACTTTCCTTATGTTTCCCTCTTGACCACTGAATTCCACCGTTTCCAGTTATTATAATGGTTGCAAAAATCTCCTCACCTGAAGGACCTCTTGCAGATTCTTTTACTTCAAACTGTTCTGTGTAGAAGGCAGACTGCAGGGTTTCCAGGTTTATAAGATACTTAAGTTTTAGGTTCCTGGCAGTGGCTTTACATTGACTGAATTGCTGAATGAATCTGCGAAATCTATACCTTATCCGCTTCCGTGTTAAAATGTGGTAGTCTTGGATCTTTGCTCTAACGCACTTCGGTAAGAATGTCTTGTAGCTAGAAATGACAAGTACACAGAAAACAAAATAAATTGGGGAGATTAGTTCCCATCTTTTCCCACAATAAGCAGGTTTAATATAACTACCATCTGATACGTATGCAAGAAGCCTTAAATTTTCATTTGATGTGCATTCTTAGTGACAACACAGTTTACAATATGACATTAATTTTCTTCCTGAAGTGAAATGAGTGCTCAGTCTAGATAATAATAAAGTCTCTAAAAGTTCATTTACTCTAATTACCTTATATGTCTGAAATCATTTATAAGTTTGGGCATTTATTTATCTGTGCTACAAATATTTCCTATAATGCTATATTCCAATTTTTATCTGAATTCTGGAAACAGCCATGGTTGGACACTACTGTTTGCTATATAAACACACTTTATTGTTTGTATTATTTTGTGAGCTTAGCTTCAATAAGTCCTAATAATTTCATTCTAATCAAAACAATTCCATTTGGAAATGTTGCAGTTCTGTATTTTCATTTCTATGTACAATAGCCTCAAGAAGATAGCTGTGTTTCTAAAATAATCTACATTAAATTTCCACACTAATCTTTATTCTTAGCATCCATCTCTTAACTGGCTAGTTCATTCAAGGAAAGCTGTCTGGTTCTACAGGTGAGATGGGGTTCCACACTTAGTTCTCAGAATATTGTGAGCACCACTTTATTTTTTTTTAACTCTGTGATACAACAGGTAAATAATTTGGTAGCAAAACCTACTCAGATACATTATCATAAGTTAGCTATGGAGGACCACGAGACTCAAGAGCACCACTTTATAATATCACGTACACTATCCTGGGCCTATTCATTTTCCACCAGTGAAATTCTAGACCTGTTTTAGACTGAGTACTCATTATTTTAAAGGATTCTTAGCTGACTGCTAAAAAGTAATTAAAATTCCAGTTATGTAATTTTATAATGAAATGTCATTAAACATGCAGGCAATAAACAGCCAAAAGTCATAATTTAATTATTTTTAAACTTCCATGTGGATTTTCCAATGTTTATGCCTTCAAATGTGAGTGGTAAAGCATGGCCAGAGCTCATCAATCTACATTCAGTGACATCAGGATACTATCTTGAAATTGGCCATGATAATATTATACCTATACTATAAATAAAAGCAAAGATTTTAAAAATCAGAATTTTTTTTCTATTTTTTGGAACTGCCTGGTATTACCAGAGTATCATAGCTTATACCTTGTCCCACTTCACACAAGGCCCCTGTGGAGCTCTCTAAGTTGGGAGGTCAAGTAGCCACCACTGCTAGAGAAAGCTACTTACAGGGCAACTGGGCTATGTTCTAGGTTGATGATTACCAGTTTCCAACAGCTCCATCAAGCACACTCCTTTACAGCACTTCTCTGTTCCATTAATTCACCCAAGTTCCACAGCTATTTTAAACCAAACGGCTTTCTGTTTCAAACCTCAGCAATATTCTTCCTGCTTTTATCTCCCCTGTAGGCTGTGCATGCCTGCTGGGGTGAGAGGTCCTCTAACTGGGAATTCTTTAAGATTCCTGCTAACAAATCTATACATATTCACACTCATTTTCTTCTCCTTCCCACCAATGTAATAAATGAGGTATAAACCTGTCAGATAAAAGCTATTTCTTTAACATGTATCATCCACTCATACCTCTTCCCCCCACACACACACATACACACTCTCTCTCTCACATACACATGCGCTCTCGCTCTCTCTCTCTCTCTCTCTCTCTCTCTCTCTCTCTCTCAACCTTACTTTGTATTACTTCTTTTCTACCCACATGTTTAAACACTAATGTCCTCCCCATATTAAATTTAAGTTTGCTTTGATTCATGTTCCCTTGTGGCTACCGAGTACCCTGTCCTCAGTGAAAGAGTTTAAGGAGTCATTGCCATGCTCTTGCCTGTATTTGCTCAGCTCACGGCAGCATGGCTCAGGGGACATTACCCAAGGGAAGAGAAGGGAAGGTCTCTTGCTAAGGTCAGGAAAGCCCCCCTCGTTTCCATTCTTCTTACCAGCCACTTTCCACAGCATTCAGCACCACTATCTCTCTCTCCTTGCATGTTTCTTCCTCTCACTTCCTTGATTTTATTACATCTCCTTGTTCATTCCTTTTCACTCTCCACTTTGGACTACTGTGTTATTCCTCAAGACTCAGTGTGGACCCTCTTCTCATCTGCT